CTTCTTGAGACAGGTTGGATCAGGCCCAGTTCGTCTCCTTTTGGAGCACCAGTTCTATTTGTCCCCAAGAAGGAAGGAGAGCTTCGTATGTGTATAGACTATAGGGGTTTGAACGCAATCACAGTGAAAAATGCTGAGCCGCTGCCCAGGATAGACGATGTTTTAGATCGAGTGCAGGGTTTTAGATCGAGTGCAGGGTTGTAAGTATTTCTCTAAGATAGACTTAAAGTCCGGATACCATCAGACAGAAGTCCATCCTGATGATCAGTACAAGACTGCATTCCGGACTAGATATGGGCATTATGAGTTTATAGTCATGCCCTTCGGACTGACCAACGCGCCAGCTACTTTTCAGCGTTGCATGAATGACCTGTTTAGACCGTGGTTAGATAAATTTGTGGTAGTCTACTTAGATGATATCCTAGTCTTTAGTAAGACCCTCCTGGAGCAYCAGGGTCATCTGAGGCAGGTCTTGGAGAAGCTTAGAGAGGCTAACTTCAAGATCAAYGCGAAGAAGTGCGAGTGGGCCAAGACGCAAGTCTTGTACTTGGGCCACGTGTTGGACGGAGATGGCATTAAGCCAGAGGACAGCAAGATCGCGGCGATTAGAGATTGGCCGACGCCCCGCACGTTGACAGAGTTGCGGTCGTTCCTAGGCCTAGCTAACTACTATAGGAAGTTCGTGAGGAACTTCTCCACTATCGCCGCTCCCTTGCGCAGGTTGTTGAAGAAAGAGACAATCTGGCAATGGGATAAAGACTGTACGTCTACGCTAAAAAAGTTAAAGCGCGCGTTGATATAATATCCTGTCCTCAAAGTAGCGGATACGTCCTTGCCATTTGTCGTTACCACGGACGCAAGTCACTATGGGATAGGCGCCATGTTGCAGCAAGACGACGACAATGGCTATAGACCCGTAGAGTTCATGTCAGCGAGGATGCCCTGTGAGAAGGTCGCTACCTCCACGTACGAGAGAGAACTCTACGCTATCAGGCAGGCTTTAGATTATTGGAAGCACTACCTGCTTGGGAGGCACTTCAAAGTCTACTCGGACCATGAAACACTTAGATGGTTGAACACCCAGGCCAAGATGACACCGAAGTTGACCAGGTGGGCCGCCGAGATAGACCAATTCGACTTTGAACTCAAGCCAGTGAAGGGCAAGTACAATGTAGTGGCGGATGCTCTAAGTAGGAGATCAGACTACTTTGGAGCCGTAGTACATTATCTGGATATAGGGAGAGAMCTGCAGGAGAAAGTGAAACAAGCGTATACGCARGACCCTATCTATAGCRACCTCCTAAAGAGAGTTAGAGAGACCCCAGAGACCGAACCAGATTACCGCACTACAGACGGGTTGCTGTTTGAGAAGACTAATGTTTTTGACCGCCTGTGCATTCCCAACAGCAAAGAGATTCGTAGTCTGATTCTCGGGGAATGTCACGATACTGAGGGATACTTCGGTTGGCAAAAGGCGTTAGCCAATCTGATGCGTGCGTACACATGGCCAGGGATGAAGAACGACTGCATAGAGTATGTCCGCAGTTGTAAAGTGTGCYAGAGAAATAAGTCTACTACACGCGCGCCCTTAGGTCTTCTCAGGCCCTTGCCTATTCCGGATCAGCCGGGAGACTCAGTGTCTATAGACTTCATGGACACGCAAGTCAAGAGTAGACATGGTAAGAGCCAAGTCATGGTCATAATCGACCGTTTTAGTAAGTATGCAGTTTTTGTTCCCTTGCCTGCAGAGGCTCGTATAGATTTAGTAATACAGAAGTTCTTTGACTTTTGGGTTAGTGAGAATGGTATCCCATTGTCAATAGTTAGTGATAGAGATAGTCGTTTCACCAGCCAGGACAGGCAAGAACTCATGAGAGTCTACGGATCTAAGTTGTTAATGCCGTCCAGCCGTCACCCAGAGACTAACGGTCAGACAAAACAAATGAACAAGATCCTACAACAAGTTCTGCGCATGTACATTAGACCAGATCAGATCAACTGGGATGAGATGTTGCCCAAGGTCGCTAGTGTATACAACAACAGTGTGCACCTATCCACCTGCCGCACTCCCAATGAACTGCACAAGTCCTTTAGACCACGCAAACCGTTCGAAGGACTGAACCGGGATCAGATTCACAAATTACCGCCCAGTACCAGGGAGTTTGCGATACAGCACGAAAAGGAATTAGCCACTGTTGTTGAGAACCTACGGAAGGCCCAGCACAGAATGATAGAGCAGGCTAACAAACACYGTCGCCCATCACAGTTTCAAGTAGGCGACTTAGTCTGGGTCAAGGCAAAAGAGTTTGCACCAGAAGAAAACATCTCGCAGAAGTTACTGTCTGCATATAGAGGACCGTGGCCGGTTTTATAAGTCAAGGGCGGAGAGGATGGACCGTCCAATAACATTGAGATTCCAG